AAAAAAATTCAGAAAATCACATTGTAGGATTTTTAAAGAATTTATTTGCAAATTATGGTGGAAAATAAGTATTTGGTCAATAACAAAATTTCATCTCAATACTTTGTTATATACCTTTTGTTGGCAATGACAGAGGTCAAACTTTTTCTGTAAGTCTTCACAAGGTTTTCACACACTGTTGCTGGTATTTTGGCCCATTCCTCCATGCAGATCTCCTCTAGAGCAGTAATGTTTTGGGGCTGTCGCTGGGCAACATGGATTTTCAACTCCCTCCAAAGATTTTCTATGGGGTTGAGATCTGGAGACTGGCTAGGCCACTCCAGGACCTTGAAATGCTTCTTACGAAGCCTCTCCTTCGTTGCCCGGGTGGTGTGTTTGGGATCATTGTCATGCTGAAAGACCCAGCCATGTTTCATCTTCAATGCCCTTGCTGATGGAAGGTTTTCACTCAATCTCACGATACATGGCCCCATTCATTCTTTTGTTTACACGGATCAGTCGTCCTGGTCCCTTTGTAGAAAAACAGCCCCAAAGCATGATGTTTCCACCCCCATGCTTCACAGTAGGTATGGTGTTCTTTGGATGCAACTCAGCATTCTTTCTCCTCCAAACATGACAAGTTGAGTTTTTACCAAAAAGTTTTATTTTGGTTTCATCTGACCATATGACATTCTCCCAATCCTTTTCTGGATCATCCAAATGCTCTCTAGCAAACTTCAGATGGGCCTGGACATGTACTGGCTTAAGCAGGGGGACACGTCTGTCACTGCAGGATTTGAGTCCCTGGCGGTGCAGTGTGTTACTGATGGTAGCCTTTGTTACTTTGGTCCCAGCTCTCTGCAGGTCATTCACTAGGTCCCTCCGTGTGGTTCTGGGATTTTTGCTCACAGTTCTTGTGATCATTTTGACCTCACGGGGTGAGATCTTGCGTGGAGCCCCATATCGAGGGAGATTATCAGTGGTCTTGTATGTCTTCCATTTTCTCATAATTGCTCCCACAGTTGATTTCTTCACACCAAGCTGCTTACCTATTGCAGATTCAGTCTTCCCAGCCTGGTGCAGGTTTACAATTTTGTTTCTGGTGTCCTTTGACAGCTCTTTGGTCTTGGCCATGGTGGAGTTTGGAGTGTGACTGTTTGAGGTTGTGGACAGGTGTCTTTTATACTGATAACGAGTTCAAACAGATGCCATTAATACAGGTAACGAGTGGAGGACAGAGGAGCCTCTTAAATAAGAAGTTACAGGTCTGTGAGAGTCAGAAATCTTGCTTGTTTGTAGGTGACCAAATACTTATTTTACCGAGGAATTTACCAATTAATTCTTTAAAAATCCTACAATGGGATTTTCTGGATTTTTTTTCTCATTTTGTCTCTCATAGTTGAGGTATACCTATGATGAAAATTACAGGCCTCTCTCATCTTTTTAAGTGGGAGAACTTGCACAATTGGTGGCTGACTAAATACTATTTGCCCCACTGTACAAGTTACAAGCCTTGAAAAAGATGTGTTAAAAACAACCTTGTGTGAGTGTAACATTAACTCCTAGACAAGGCCAATGATTTTCTATGGAAGCCCATTTCTGCCAAGAGATAAAAAGAAAAAGAAAAAGAAAAAAAAAAGGTAATATTACTTTTTTTCTCAAAATTGCAAGATATAAACTCAGAATTCTCAGAATTTCTTACAATTCAGAGTTTATACTTCACAATTTTTATTTTTTTCCCCCTCTAAATTCTGAGATTACATTTCACAAATTTTTTCCGCAATTGAATAAAAAATAGAAAAAGGTAAATGTGACTTTTAAATCTCACAATTCTGACTTTTTCTCAGAATTGCAAAAATTGTAAATTCACAATTCTGAGTTTATATCTTAAAATTCTATTCTAATTCTATCACATTTCTAAATAAAATAGTCATATTGCAAGGAAAAGTAAAAAAAAAAATCTAAATTGTGAGATACAAATGAAGACAATCAGGGCTGCGTTTCTCGATAACGATTAATCTTAGCACTTAAGAGCGTTTTCTGCGAGTCATTTTACGATCGTTAGTTATTGTTTCACGTGCGTTTCCCAAAAATGCACTTAACACAATCGCACGTAGCCGTGCTTTAAGTGCTACTTAGGAGTCGCTATCCGTTTGTCAAGTGCTGAAATGTCACCTTATAGAATGGCTCGTAATTGTAGTACATGCTCGTTTATTGAAATGTTAACCTAATGCTGCGTTCCAGATAACTCGGATATAATAACTATGATATGATATTATATTATATTATAGTGTATAATATTATACTTTATATATATAGAGAGAGACAGAGAGAGTGCTGGTTTTCGTGCACGTCAGCAACTCATTGACAGATTTTTTTCCCCAGTCTTTGAAGCATATTTCCTATATTACTTCATTTTTTTGTTCAGTCATTTAAGTTAGATGTTTATTTCTATTTTTTCTGCCCTTTTTAATTATTTCATATATAAATTAATACAAAAAAAAAAAACGAGTAATAAACTGTACAATAAAGTACAATCAAATCCTTATATAATAATCACATTGGACTTGAATAAAGTTAAAGATGTAATCTGCCGATTGTCCTGCAGGCGACCGCATAAATCTGTCTTCTTATGATGTACTTAGGGCTTTACGATTACTCTAGAGCACTCGCAGATCTACGATGATTTTCAAGTGCTACTTAAGTTACGATGCTTTTAATATTAAGATCAGTCGTACGATCGTTTTTATGAACTTCTTAGGCTTATGAAGCTTTTGGGAAACGCAGCCCAGATTTGTTAGATTTTAACATTTTTATTTATACTTTTTTTTATCTTGTGGCAGAAGCGAGCTTTTTAGTAAAAAAAAAAAATTTGAATGAAAGTAGTAAAAGCTGTTGAACAAGTTGTTTTACTTGTGTATTTAAATTGCCTGGTACAATGATTACTACTCCGGCTGTTGGTTGGGTTTTCTTCCAGAAAATATAATGTGCATATGCTTACCATTTTCTCATCTGCTGATTTTCATTATATATACTAAAATAACAATATTGACATTCGTTTGCCCTTCAATTAGTACCATGGGATTAAAGCAACATCATCATATCTTTTTGTCTTTCTTATAGTTTGCAGTGTCCTCCAGCTGACCCAGGGCTACTTTTATTAATTGTTTTTATAATGGTAAAGGTAAACGAATGAATTAGAGTTAGCGTTAAATTGGTTTATTAATGGCAGACAGCAACCAGAGCCTTTCTCTTTGTGACACTTCCTACATGCTGTGTTCTCAGTCTCACTCTTCTCAAAGAGTTGCCCGGGCTCCAGCTCTCTTATGAGAAAGCATGTAGCCCCAGTGGCTGCCAAGCAAGGGGGCTGCATGAAGGGAAGCATCAAGTAGCTCAATTAGAGATAAATCATCCTACCAGAGAGGAAGTCTTGGATTGCCTGACTTCCACTGGCAAAGCACTGAACACTATATCAGGATTACGCATAGACTATAAAGCCATAAAAGCGTATTTTTGTGCAACTGCTCGGCACAGAAAACAATGCAAGCCCATGAAAAAAAAAAAATATATATATATATATATTTACTTAGCACTGCAGTGCACAGATACAGCCGAGACTAATTTAGGTTTGAACTAAACAGCCATAAAAGTACAGTTGGTTTGTCTTTACTGGAAAAGAGGAATTTTAACTTTTACATACCAAATATGCATGCCTTTATTATCATAAAGAGCCTTTAGTGTTTAGAAATGGCTTGTTCTGAAATGTTTATTTGTACATGCAAAGCAAAAACAAGCAGATTTGAACAAGAAAAAGCTGTTTGCTGAAGCTTTTCAGACAAAAAAGTCTACTGAATAAATAAATAAGATTCTATTACTAAATCATAAACAGAACCTGCATATTTCCCCCCAATTTATTTGTGCAGATTTTTTGTATTATTATTTAATTTTAAGTTTTAATTTTGTATTAATTTCATGACAGTTAAGCACATTTCCCTCCTAAATATTCATTAATGTATCTTAACATTTGAAATTAGTTTTGTTTGCTTGTTTGATTTCTATTATTATTGATGATGATTCATATTATTGTAATACAGTAATATTGAACTTTTATAGTAATTAACTTAGTTAACTTATAGTAAATAACTTTTACTGTAATACAGTGATTTGGTTTTCCCAATTAAAATCATGGTAAATGTAAATGTGCTTAATTGTTAAGAAAATAATGTAGCCATGCAAAATAAAATGTCTTTCTTTTCATGCCACTTTTAACTATTTGCCTGTATTTTATGATGGCCATCATAACAATGTTTGTTCATATTATCATTCAAGTTATAGATCTGTTATAAATTCGTTTCACTGAAATAATGAGGTATAAAGCAGACACAGGATGTGGACAGAGGGTGCAGAGTGGGATGTTAACTGGCTGCACTGATTGGCTGCTGGCTCTGTGTGTGTGCAGCGTAGTAAATGCGGCGCTCGATGACACTCCGCCCTCTTCTCTCCTGCAGCTAGCGGGCCGTATGTAGCGGGACAGCCTGCTGGAAAGCACACTATTCCCTCCCTCCGAGCTGTCACACAGAACATGTGCATTCCCCGAGTCTCTTCAAATCGTCGTTGTCGTACGTCTATGTGATTCCCATTTGTGCTCATGAGCCTGCTAGGTGGCTACAAGAAAAAGAGCAGTTACGATGGCTACGAATCTTTGCAGCTGGTCGATAGCAGCGGAGACATCTGCACCGGGGGACGAAGCGGTGGTGGCGGCGGTGGCGGCGGTGGTTTGACGGCAGTGACCCTCGGCAGCGTTAAAACAGGCCCTGCGCGACAGGACGACTACAGCACCATGGACAGCTCAGGTATGAAAACCGAGTCGACCGGTTGGCGCTTGCAGGCCAGCCGCTCCTTCGTCTGATACGCATCAAACAACCTGTTTTGTGTTTGTTTTTAAGGCATGCTGGTTTCCTGTAAGAATCCAAGGTGGTGGATTCAATATTAGTTGTCGATATCCGCCGGAAGCATGTGTTTCGTGTCGTCTGTTCGTGTGCTGTATCATGACAACTGATCAAAGTCACAGAGCTGGCGTATTGGAAACTACAGTAACTACTTTGATTGTTAGTTCATAGATGAACTAGTGAAATTCGAGGATTGTGAACTAGATATATGTGTATAAATGGCGTTTGTGGTTGCCTCATACATTGATGTGCTATGCAGGACCATCCATGGATAGCTCAGCATGCAGTAAGCTTTGGACGTGCATGTAGCTGGGTTTCTTGCATGCAGTTTGGTATGGACTAGGATAGCAATACCTTTGGTTGTCTGTGTTATACTGGGATTGCTGCTGTTTTACTGCAGTGATCTGAGATGAAAGGTGGCCTTCAGCACTGAGCCATGAGGAAGAGCTAGTGTCAGGTGTTTTAGTCCCAGCTGATGTCTGCTTTGGTCTGGTGTTTTTGCATGTGTTTGTGAGAAAGAGAACTTATATAGACTATACTGTAAATGTTTTTGTTTTTGTGATAAAAAGTGGTAACCTGGATTATCTTGAAGAGATATGTCTACTTGATTTAGCCCATAAAATGTATTTCATATTAATATTAAATAATAGTGCTGAATTGAATAAAACCAGTTTATTTAGATGTTACCATTTTTCAGTGTGTTTGAGCTATTAAAATGTTGATTTTTGTAAAAATGTACTGATGATTACACATTGCTGTATTATTTAAACATGATGACTGTAATCACAGTTCATATAACCATGTAATCATAACATGCAAATGCTATAAGCCAAACAAATAATGCTAGATAATGATTAAATCATTATAAATTACATCTACATCTCACAATATAACTGATAGCATGAATGAAGAAACACAACATTGCAAATAAAATCTAAACAAATGTGATGGCTAGTGCTAGGAAATCCCTTTCTCCATTGATGAAAAAATGGACCCAAAAATGAAAATTCTGTCATTAATTACTC